CTGAGCCCATTCTCCAAAGAATAACATGCCTTCATCCAACTCGTCCAAAGCTAAGAGCTGCTTAGAGAAATATTTGCATTTGAGAATTCTGCTCATAAGTCACCCTAGCTTAAAGTTTCAATGTTAAAGCTGATAGAGATCTTTCTGAAGAAATATAGAGCTTGAAAGGCACAGTTGATTCTCTTTCTTGTGATTCTGAAACTCTATCTCCTCACTCAAGAGGAAGTACTTTAGGCAGCTCGGATCGAATCAGTATTGATATACCGATTTGTCCATCACTGCTTAAGTATGAGGGCCTCAATAAAGAGCTTGAGATCTAGGAAACCAAGGCCCCCATCTTCAAGAGGAAGGGAGATGTGATTCGAGCATTTCCAGTGTAAACCCTTTTTACAGTTATCACCCTTACTCCACTAGAAACTTGCAATTAACTTAGAAATATCATCACAAACAACAACATGAACAGTGAAACATGAAATAACAAACACAGACAGAGCACTAAGAACAAACTTTATTAAGATTTCCCCACATGCTTGAGGAAGTAACTTATTTTTTCAACTGAGCACTGTAGATCAAACCGCACCAGTCACGAAAAAAAAAAGTTTGTTTTTGGATTTGCTTGTGTTTAGAGGGAGGCCAAGATATTCGGGGGAGTGTTTGACTTGGATGCCAAATACTATAGGTGGTTTGTTGTGTACTAAGAGGGTGTTTTTACTAAAAGAGATGAAAGATTTCTCTATGTTTACTTTTTGGCCTGAGAAAAGCTCATAGGTGTGACGTATTTGAAGGATAAAATAGGCATGCTGAGGTTTAGCTTGGTAGAAAATAATGTTGTAATCAACAAAGAAAAGGTGGGACAACGAAGGATCATTTTTGGAGAGCTTAATCCCTTTAAAAGTTCCTTTAGGAGAGGTTTCTCTAATAAGACCATAAAAGAGGTCAGCCACAATAACGAAAATGTAGAAAGAAATAAGATCTCCTTGCCTAATGCTCCTAGAAAGGAAGACAAAACTAATTGCCATTGATATTGAAAGAAAAGTTAGAAGAAGTCAGACATGCCATGATCCAATTAACAAATTATGCATGAAAACCTATTTTCATCATTAACTTAAGGGAAATTTTCATCTATCCCGGAAGATTTAGATTTATTTACGATTTTACACCTACTATAAATTTAATTTCATATGTACCTAAACCTATTGGATTAATTGGAGATTTACTTGATTTCAGTTACC